TCCTTATTGGAGGGTTGGAGTAATAGCCTGGGTTTAGATTGCTTTTTTCCCTCTTTTTCTCCCCATCTGAGTGTTCTGTTCATAATAGCAACAAAATTCACATCAATAAATCAGAGTAAATCTTTTGTCACTTCAAAAATATTTCTTTTCTATGTTAAAATTGTGTTTCTGTTATGAGTACATTGGAACTCAATAATAAAAATATGTTCATAAAGTCACAGAAGCATGTTTTCTATACTCCTCTGGCAAATGCTAGTTAGCTTTTGGAGTTTTGACAGAAACTTGTTCTAGATTTTACATGCTGAGAACTGTCCTACTGCTCCCTCATGCTCTCATCTTCAATCTTATGTTCACATATTGTAATTTCTTTTTAGTGAGGGTCTGATCCTAGGCCATTGAAGTTAGTGGGAAAAAAATAGACTTCAGTAGAACTTGTTTCAGGCCTTCTGTGTGCACATCAGGTAAAGCGTAGTGTATGAGGGAGTTGAAGAATGTTTATTTTTATCCTTACTCTTTAGTAATAGTCCTCTGCTTCATTCATTGCATGCTGTCCATCCTGCCCACTGAGAAACCCAATCTGTTCTCAACTGGTATGAATATTCCTTTGGCCAAATTGGGCCTAGACTGTGGAAAATTTCAAAAAGCGTTTGACCCAGATTAGGCTACAGATCCAATCAGGCCCATGTCTTCCTCTCTGTGTACCCTTTCTATGTTCACTGCATATCTTCCAACCTGCATACTCAGTGAGGCCTTATTCCTGCAAAAATAACATCATGTGATCGTTAGAGAGGTAAGGTGGGTGCGGTAACAGCTTATCAAAGTTTCTCTCTCACCAACAGAAATTGCTCCAATTTAAGATATTGCTTCACCCACCTTTCTCTCTCTTACCTTGGAATCAACATGGCTGCAACACTGCATATGTTAACCCATCAGTTGACAATGTAATTAGTCACTGAACTGTGTGCACTTTGAGGCAAGAAGCCCTTAAAATATTGTATTCAAACATGGGTTTTACTATTGAATACAGTTCAGTGTTTCCTTCAACATTACTTATTGAGTTCTAGTTATAGACCTGATCAACAGCACTGCAATCCACTGAAAATGGTGAGGATGTGTAAGTGTCACTCAAGGTACCATTCACCATGCCGAATTTTTGTCGTTGATGGTAATGCACAAGAAGGAAGGAACCTAGCTTGAAGAGCAGATCCCACTTTGAAATTGCAGGACAAAAATTCAAAACTACATATTTTTGCTTGCACCTCAACTATAGGAAGTATTGGGATATTCATCATTGGCTCCCATGAGCCAGTTTTACAGAATCTTTTTTTGAAATAGAGACACAATTTAAGATGGTCTCAGAAGATAACAGCAAATCCTGGTTGGTGCTAGTGTGCTCTTTACTAGGTGGTGATAACAGGAAATGCAATGAGTCATTTATTATCTTGTGGTTGAGGAAAGGAAGGGTTTTGCTGCCCAATGGACTCAGGTGCATCAGAAGCATCAATGGTAAAGAATGTCAATTGGCTCTTTCCTGATACATCCTAAGAACTATGCTTCTGCAATGTAATTTTGTATATACTAACAGAAATGATTGTACAGCGGTTTGCACAGAAGGTCAATTAATTGAGAGAAGCATAGATATTTAAGAATCGAAAGCCAGAGTTAAGAATATTAACTACATGAAAGCCAGAGTTAAGAGTATTAACCATATGCGTTAAAAGCCCCTACCATTGCATATAATGATACAATGTTCTTACAACTGTTATTCACACAAGGGAGTTGTACTATTTAATCAATTAGTCTATTCACATGTATACCCCGCATTACTCCTGGAAGTAGAGTATGCAGGATCAAGCTCTTAGCTTGCATGTAGCCTTCTAGCTTGTATCTGGTATTGAGGGATCTTGAGTGCATCTCCCAAGGAAGGGTTTGTGTGTTGCAGAGGTTCTGTCACCTATATTCAGGGCTGACACAAGAATGTTTCTCTTTCCTGTCTATTGTATGAGAGGTGTCTGATGAGTGCTGAGAGAGTGAATGAAGGAAAGGGGGTTTATCTGGTTTAGTAAATGGTTAGCTGGGTCCCAAGGTTGTGTGGCCCATCAAAGACAGGTGTTTTGTGAGAGATGTTCTCCAGCCTGTAATTGATAGCTGGCTATCTGGCCACTGAAGTGTGGGATTAGGAGTTCTGATTTATGGGGATGAGGTAGTTTCTGCTTTTCTTCTTCCTAAAGCTGCTGAGAAGACTGAGACTGATTTTTTTCTCTTTTAGCTACTGGGAAGAGTAGTGGCAGGCATGTCCCCTTCATTCTTCCCTTTATTCCTGTTAGTACATGGAGTGACCTGATGTCTCTAAGCAGCTGGGTCTTGCAGAGTAGTACTGTCTGTTTCCTTCCATAAAAGAGAGGGGATGATTGCGATGGAGTTTCCACTGCCCTCTTAGGGTACGTCTAGACTAAAGGCTTTTGTCAACAGAAGTTTTGTCGACAGTATCTGTCAACAAAACTTCTGTCGACAAAGAGCATCTAGACACATTCAGTTCTGTCGACAAAGCAAGCTGCTTTGTCGACAAAACCCTGTAGTCTAGACACAACCCTACATGCAATAACACCTTCTGTTGACAGAACTGTGTCGACAGAAGGCGTTATGCCTTGTAAAATGAGGTTTACCAGCGTCGACAAAACTGCTGAGTTCTGTCGACGTTATGTTGACAGAACTCAGCGGTAGTGTAGACGCAGGTATAGTTTTGTCGACAAAAGTCCACTTTTGTCGACAAAACTCTGTAGTCTAGACACACCCTTAGAGGGAAAACATGAGCATGGCATGGAGCATGCATCTCTGTGAGTGTATGCATTCTTGGAGACAAGCGATGGGGAGAGACAGAAGGTCCCAAGATACATGACATGACAGGACTGACCCTTGACTTTGTGTAACTCCTAGCTCAAGACTGCTTCTCAGACCTCCTTTCCAACTCCTCCTTTTCTTCTGGTGGCAGCAACAGTAGCAATTAACTGCATGCCTGATGGTTGTGGCTGCCAAATTTGGAGGTCCCCTGAAGCAGTGGTGCCTGGACACAGTACACATGGGATCCTGTCTTAATGTGCCATCGTAGGGAACCAATTTAAGTCTAATTATGCTTAATGGCAAAGACTGCTGCTTTATTGAGATGGCAATTACATTTAATTGGGAGGCTACAGGTGATTTAGTGGTTCTTTCTTCTTTGTGTGTCTCAATTTCATGCTGACTCTATTTGTTTGCTCCTTAAACAAGAGCAGCTTTCAGTCCCTGCTTAACTGTGATATACACAGAGAGTATGAAATGCTACTGTATGTCCTGCCCTGCTCCTAGCTGAGAGAATATTGCCTCCAGAACAGTGACATACACTGGGTCTCTGCTAGGAATCTTAAATCTGCCCCAACTGCTGCATAGAGCAGAACTGAAAGTTCCAGCTTTGGCCCATTGTTAGTGTGAAAGCAATTTTAGTCACATGTTTCAGATAATATTATCCTGGAGGAAATATACATGAATAGTGCATGCGTGTTATATACTGTGTCTGTGTGTTATGTATGTAGAATATACATAGCGTGAAATCTTGGTCCTTTTGAAGTTGGTGGGACTTTACTTTCAGTGGGACCAGGATTTCTCTGATATTTTAGCTTGTGAACAGTAGTTACCAAATATATATCCAGTTAACCGTTCCTCTAAATCCACTTGTTCTGCTAAACTTGTCCATAACGATATGTATTTTATTTGCTCATTGTATATTGTTCAAAGCAACAATTTTAAAACTTTCTCTGTGGCAGGGAAAATTCAATGCAGTTATGTCCATGTGTAAAATTACTGGGATGTCACTCTGAGTCACTCTGAAGCCTAAAATGTTTGAGTAAATGAGGGAACTGCTACATGCGTGGGTGAGAGCTTTTTTTGTTCAAAATAAAAGGTTGAATCATCATGCGGTTTCACAGTATGTCATCATACATTTAAAAAAAACCAACAGTTATTTTGGCTTTATAGTTTACTGTAGCTATACACCACACAGGTATAAAGTATATATCTCTGCCATGCCAAGATAGTGGCGGTATCTAAATCAATTATCATCCTTACTCAACAGCTAACTGGCAGGTAGCAATTTTATTGGTTGCATGAACATACAGTTATTGTCAGTGGGCCTGAAGCAATCTTAAAAAAAACCAACAGTTATTTTGGCTTTATAGTTTACTGTAGCTATACACCACACAGGTATAAAGTATATATCTCTGCCATGCCAAGATAGTGGCGGTATCTAAATCAATTATCATCCTTACTCAACAGCTAACTGGCAGGTAGCAATTTTATTGGTTGCATGAACATACAGTTATTGTCAGTGGGCCTGAAGCAATCAAGA